TTCTTACTTAAATGGATATATAAAAAGTTAACATTTATATCAACACAAAACCAGATAGTTCAAAGAAAAAGTATAGGCCCTGTTCGTTTGTTTGTCACAGGTTTCGGCGGCAGCGTCGGCGGCAGCGTCAGCGTCAATGACGACAGTTGTTGTTCATTTAGCAGACGCTGACGCTGCCGCTGCCGCAAATTATTGTTCGTTTATAAGACGCAGGTAGTTGACGCAGCCGCAGACGCCAATGCAGGAAATAGATTTTTGGATTGTTCGTTTGATAGACGCTGCGGCTATCTTCAATTTTTCAGATATTTTTTATAAAATTTTGTAAAATTGTATTTAAATAAATAAAAATGTAATTGAAATATATTTACATCCATTAAAAATATCATGTTCACTTGGTAATAATTTTTTGGTCAATTATACAAATGTAACAATATTTTTTCATACATCATAAGCTAAATTAGAAAAAAATAATACTTCAAAATATGTATCATAATAAAAGCTAAATATTACATAAGTTAGTTGTTAAAAAAATACATCAAGTCTTAAATATCACATTTATATGATAATCAAAGTTGTAAGCAAAAGAAACTACATTATTAACTCAAACATGATGATTGTTTGCACTAAGTTTTAGTTTTAGTTTTTAGTTTTTAGATTTTGGTTTTAGATTTTTGTGTTTGGTTTTTGATTTTGGCTTTTTATTTTTGGTTTTCAGCTTTGGGTTTTAGTTTTTAGATTTTGATTTCGGTTTTTGGCTTTGCTGTAGTTTTTAAATTTCTTAAAAAAGAAGTAATACATTATTTTTAAAATAATACAACAAAAATAGAAATAAAACATTTAAAAGCTACTGTTAAAATATAATGATTATTATTTAATAATACAAAATACATTAACATGTTTTAATTATTATATATTTTAAGAAACTTATATTATATTAAATTATAAATCATAAAATAACTATAAACTATAAAATATTTAAAATTTCAAAATATGAAAGTTATTTATAAAACAAATTTATATGTAATTTAAATTATAAAATTTGAATGGAATTTTTTCTTTTTCAAATTAATATAATATATTTTATTAATGAAATTTTCTGTTTTTATAATTTAAGATTGTTTTATAAGTCTAATTATTATTAAATTATTAAATAATTTTATGTTCAGAAATGAATAACCAATTTCAATTATTTAATATTATATATAAGTATATAAATTTATTTTGACATGCAACATAAATAAATGATTAAACATTATTGCTTAAATGTTATCTTTTGTACCAAAATTTTATTAGACTTTTATCTTTATAAAGTATTATTATTTAATTAGTAGCTAGTTAAAATGTACCACTTTCTAATGAAAATATAAAAAAATCGTTTTATTCCTAAAAACCAACAAAAATGAGTTTTTGGTTTCTTTTCATAAATTGATTAAAATTTTCAAAAACCAGTTTCCCTAAAATTTAGGGAATCTATTTACTAAAAAACTTGATTGGCAAAAAATTGGTTTTTACAAAAACTAAAAACAAAAACCAAAATCTTGATTGGGTAAAAACTAGTTTTTGAAAAAACAAAAACCAAAAACTAATTCAAAAACTACAAACAATCATCAGCTTAATATGGTAAACGACCTCTACCATATTCATTTGTGATGTTATCACGCAAATCTTCCATCGCTTTATCACCTGTTGGCTCATATATAATATGTCCATCACCACCACCACCACCATCATTATCACCATCACCATCATCATCATCATCATCATCATCATCATCACCTTCTTCTTCATCACTGTCACTATCAGCTACTTCTCCTTCTCCTTGTCCATCATCACCATTTTGCAACTGTACAAAATCATGATCTTCCCGACGTGAATCACGTATGAAGCTGTGTAGCGCCATCGTCGCTGTCACCAACTTAATCCACTTGACCAACTTATACTTTGGATGTTTACGATCCAACATCCTCCATTTTGCTTTCCATACTCTAAATGTCCTCTCAATCACTGATCGCAGTCCTGAATGCTTTCGGTTGAAAAACTCTCTCTTGCACTAACTGGTGGTCCTCCTGTAGCAAATTGACCAAGATGGTATCGCATATTACGATGCAGACCAAGATACCCTGTCCTGGTCGGATATCCGGAGTCAACTAAATAATATTTTCCAGGAGGAGGATGTGGAAAAGAAGCCTCGTTTCTCGCACAATGAGTCAAGACCTTCGTATCATGTGCTCTACCAGGTACACCGACATATGCATATATGAACTTCATGTCGAAGTTACATATAGCAAGAACATTCATTGTAGGGTCTTGCTTTCTGCCTCTGAATGCTTCTGCATCTTCAGGAGGAGGACGAAACGGGACATCAATTCCATCAAGTGCTCCAATACAATCTCTGAAATGAGGCCAGTACCGATCATCATTCCTCAAAACAAGACTTACTCTTCCAAACCCGCCTTCTTGTGGTCTTAGTGTATCAGCTGCAAACTTGAGAAGAGCACTCAAGACATCATCAAGCTTCCTTTGTACCGTATCCAGTGATCTTTGATACCTTACAGCAATATCCCGCTTCGTCTTATCTTGACCAACAGTCTCGAGAAACATCGCAACAGATTCCTCAAGGTAGATATGGTGAGTCTCTTACAATCCATATCGCTGAGCTAGCATCTTGCACAAAGTTTCAAACGTCCTTTGATTCATGCGTAGAATGTCGTAGCATTGCTGATCAGATTCATACTTAAGTTGTTGAACAAAACGCCATCCTGCTCCTCGATCTGTTCTGTGACTCAACCTCGCAAGAATAGCCACATCAAACAATCCAAGTTCATCATCATAATCATCATCCTCATCTTCCAATATCCATCTCTTAAGCTCTTCAATCTGTTCAAGCAAACCAAGATTGTTTATTAGTGTTCTCTTAAAAAACCCAACAGCTGCAACATAAATTTCATAACTGAATTGTTCTCAACAACTGCAACAAAGTCATATGTTATCTATGCATGAATTGTTCGATACTAATCATACTAATAGCAAAATAGTTTCATAACTGATTATAAAAAGCCACAAAAGGCAAAGTTTCATACAAAGATCAGACCAATATCACAAAATAGTTCCAGCAAGACTAAACTACTAGTTCCATACTAGTTCCAGAAACTAACTAAATCACAAAAGAGTTCCATACTAGTTCCAGAGACTAACTAAATCACAAAAGAGTTCCAGCAAGACTAAACTACTAGTTCCATCAAGTTCCATCAAGTTCCAACAAGTTCCAGCAAGACTAAACTACTCAAGCATATCTTGGTCCTAAGTTCCAAAAACTTGGTCTTCGCTTCATCTGTCTTCATCGTTATGAATCCCTTTCGGCTCCCTTCACTATCAATCAAAAGCTCAATCGATGCTGCATACAACGGCAACCATTCTATCACTTCAGGCAGTGCATACAACATCTCCAATACGGTCTCAACACTAAATGGTTTTTCATGCTCCAACACTTGTTTTACTAGCATATTCTTCACTTCAAGTGCTGCAGTCCATTTGTTACAAGACTCTACAACCGCATCTTTCTCTTTACGCCTACGTTTTGCTATTGAACCTCCAGAATGAGTCTGAGCCGCTGGTTGAGTTTGGGGCTGAGCTTGAGTCTCTGCTGCTGGCTGAGAATCAGCTTCATCCTCACCAATGTCTCCACCAACTCTCGAATCCAAACTTGCTTCTCCAGTTTGAGCGCTCCAACCTTCTGCTCCGGTTACCACTACACCACCAAATTCTGTTTCAAACATATCCATGTTATCGATCTCTTTGCAGGAGGCTCTTCTAATCCCAGGACACTCCTATATAACAAAAGAGAAAAGAGTAAGTCAGGTTCACAAATAATATATTCTAACTAACTTAATCATTTTACTCCTCAATATTTCAAAAGCATGCACATCCATCACACATTAGAAAAAAAGGAATCCACAAAAATATGAACAAGTGGCAAAAGGATTTTTTGTACCTCAAGCTTTGATCTAAAACAAGGTGATATAAAGGCTTGCCTCAGCTTTACAACCACCGGTTCCTGTTGTGTTCTTCAGAATCTGCATGTACCCAAAAACAAACCAAAACTTGTTAAACACACATAAAAGAAAACTGAAAAAAACTTTGCATTCTCATCTACTCCACCAGTTGAACAGCAAAACCATAAACATAACAAGAACCAAGCATCTATCTAGATCACAGTGAACGAGCTATTCCAAGAACCATTGAAGTAACTACATATATTTATTTAATGTACATACTATAAACGGAGAGTATGTTTATTCACCTATAAAAAAAACTACATTTACTCTCTCTTAAATGTTTTGCCTGAGTTTGTATATCTATTTGCAGGTGGTATCTTATTCCTCATCAATGTCTTTTAGCTTGATATATTAATCCGGAACATAAAAGTTTTTCTAAGTTTGAGACTTATGAAACTCTTTGTGATTACAGAAGTGAACCAGACCAAGATTTTCCTGGAGCGCACATTGTGATCCCTTCCCCTCAGGTATATAGAAACTTCGTATCTAATAGTTAGTTACCTGAGTAGCTTTTAAACATACTCTCCGTTTATGTCATCTTAAATGAATCATCAATATACGTACACAAACTCTATCTAAACATGCTCTAGCCTCGTCAAAACCAGAAGATAAAACTCATCAACGATGCTCTAGACTAGACCCAAATGCTTTAGAACAGAGACATACCTAAACGAGAAAAGGAGAAGAGAGAGCTCGGAGAAGAGAGCTTCGAGATGAGTTGAGATGAGCTCGGAGATGGGTTTTCTTCAGAGAAGAGCTCGTGACGGAGAGATCTTGAGATGGTGAGAGCTCGTGACGGAGAGAGCTTGAGATGGTGAGAGCTCGTGACGGAGAGAGCTTGAGATGGTGAGAGCAAGAGATGAAGAGAGCTTTCGATGGTGAGAGATAGAGAGAGAGCTTGAGATGGTGTGAGCACGAGATGGAGGGAGCTCGAGATCTCGAGAGATGATGGAGATCGATGGAGAAACGAGAGAGATGGACAAGAAAGAAGCTGCGTCAAAGGGATGCGTCTGCGTCACTTTTTGGTTTAGGTTTTGTGTAAATACTCTAATTTATTAAGGGTAAAACAGTAAATTACTTTATTGGCCGCATGTTTTAGGTCGCGGACGCTGGTTTTATCGGCGTCAACAGCAAGACGCGGCGTTCGGACGCGGCGTCAGACGCGGCGTTCGGACGCGGCGTCAGACGCGGCGTTCGGACGCGGCGTCAGACGCGGCGTTCGGATGCGGCGTCAGACGCAGGTAGGTGCGTCAACCAAACGAACACGATTCTAAAAAAAAGTTGACGCAGCTGCAGACGCACCTACCTGCGGCGACCAAACGAACAGGGCTATAATAAGCATTTTGAAAGATAGGAAACAAAATATCACTAAGCTCGTATATTTTTATAGTTGATCAAACCTTGTCTACTCTAATTTTTTTTTGTTCTCTAAAGAAAATGATGAAGTTTGAATTGCCTCTTTTTCCAAAACATTGTCATAATTATCATCTTCATGTGTGGTTTCCTATATTCATATTAAAAAAAAAAACTGAATGGATTGGTGACAGTATGATTATAATATAAGAAAGTTTCTATTGTCACCTTGATTTTGGATATAAATTGCTGCAACTTTTTTCCCGTGGTTAATTACTGAAAAGGAATTGATGGTTTGTTTCTTCAGAGTTTTTTTCGTTGTTAGCAACTTCCCCTCCTGCCATATTTGATGTTGCTTCAAGTTTGTTGATGATTGATGAAATCCTTTTACCGGCGAACATAGTATAGAAATCCCTTGTCATCTTACAAACATGTATTCTCCATCTGTAACAAATAGGTAACATATTTTTTTAATATAATTGACAAAACAGACATGAAACTTAACTTCGGAGAATTGGAGTTGCAAGAAGACGGGGGATTGATTGCTCATATTTTTCCATCGCTATATAATAACAATAATTAGCACTTACTATATCCTTTTTGATATCGTGATTGGCTCTTGCTTTTGATAAATCAATCACAAATTTCACAAACTTTGGTGATAACGTGATAGAGAAAACGTAGAGAAGAAAATAGTACGTTTGCAAAGTTTATAGAGAAGAAAATAGTTGGAGAACGAAGAAGTTAACTAAGACGTGCGATGAAAATTTTGAGAAAAATCAGGAAATTAGATAGTTAAAGATTTGGATCGCACAAAAATAGAAGATGAAGAAAACAAATTTAATTGTTCTTTTTTTTTTTGTAAAATTTTCCATGTGTCAAAATTTTAGTGGTTGTATGACTTATGTTTTAGTATATAAAGAATATATATAAATATATAGATATATATAGTTATATATATACTATGTACTATGTAAAGAAAATTATATTTATAGTTATACTATGTAAAGAAAACTATATATATATTTATAGTTATACTATAGTACTATGTAAAGAAAATTATTTAGACCAGATAAAAATGTTCTAATAAATAAAAAATAAAATATGAGTATATAAAATAAAAAAAATTTATATAATAAAATGTTAAATTTTAAGTTTTAATCAATCTGTTTATACTGATGACAATAAATGTTAAATTCAATACATTAAGATAAGCTTAATTTTATAGTACTAGAAATACAATTACCCATTCTAACAAATTACACATTTTGACAAGTTTAATATAAATATTTTATAACAAGGCATGATGAGTATTTACATAACGGGTTCAGAAATTGAAAGTTAGAACTATTTAATGTCTTATATAACGGGTGGAAATTTAAATATAGTTATCATATACAACAAAAGAAACTATTAAAACATCTCAAATACTATTTTGTAAGTATCTTTTAATTTTAGGATAAACACATTCATAAAAAAAAACTAAAAACATATTTTGTTTTGTAATTCCATATTACACAATTACATAATACATGAAATTATAAATATATACTGTATTATTTATATAAAAAAAAATTTATTTATATAAAAATGAAACAAATATTCACGCAGATCAAAATCTAGTTTGTCTTTAATTAAGATATGTAGCTTTTAACTTTCAGAAACGATGGAAACATACAATGTAAAGGATATCCGAATTGGCGAAGCTATAATAATTCAGTTCACAGTTCTCTTATTTCACAATAAAGTAGATGAAATCTTACAACAAGCCACATGGAAAGAACATAAAAAAAACGAAATCAGACAGTTTAATATTTTTCTTGGTTTTATTTCATAACCGAAATTCACAAAAGATAGCAATAAAACCACAAGTTTGTGGTGTAAAGTTGATTATCATCATCCCCTTCCAAACATTCATGATTAACTTACCAATAATATCTCCTCCCTGGTTCCCATGAACCGACGTAACTATTCCCTGCGTCAATAGCATCTAACTCGAGCTGCATCATCGCCATCTCCTTCTCAGCATTCATTACCGAGTTTATCATTGTAGCCGCCGAGCTTGTTTCTCCTTCTGCTTCTCCATTCTTTGGCTCGTTATCTTCATATGTGGAGCATGAATGTACATGCGTCCCATAGTCACATTCTTTGCAATAATACACCCATAGATTCTCCGGCATATCTTCTTCACAAACATCACATATGAACGTCACACCATCCTCGCGACCCTTGCACGGTGTGTTGTAAAGTAGAGTGAGTGGGTGTTCGTGATCTTCACGCTCCACAGTCTCAGGGACAAACGCACATCCCACATGAATAACGTACTGGCATTCCGAGCAATGGTATGTGAAAGCAGATCCATACTCACCGCACGCATCACATGTGAAAGTGGACTGGTCGTACGGTGGAGAATGGACCAGGGTCAAAGGGTGATCAGGGTGAGACTTGTGATGGGTCTCACCGGGAAGGTTGAAACATGACTTGTGCAAGAAGTAGTTGCACTCTGTCTTTGTACACTTGAAAGCTTGCCCAATTAGTTCGAGCTCACATCCAGAGCAAATGATCTCATCTCCCTCTTGAGATTCGAAGACCCGCAAAGGATGAATGTGACTCGGGTGTCTCACCCATGGACGCTTAGGGTTAGCCCTAGTTTTTCCTGAACCCATATGTTTCTTGATGTGTTTTAAGGTTTTTTTGGTTGATTTGTGGCCTTGGGGAGAATTGCTTTGGAACTATAAATGGGCAAAAATGAAGATGACTTTGATTTCTATAATTAGGAGTTTGGTAGTTGCTAAGAAAAAGGAGTTTGGTTTTCTTAGTAACCAATTGTAGCTTATTGACTACTTGTATGATTATACTATCAACAATGGAAACTCTATAAATTAATGTTCGATAAATTGATAAACTTTATAAATCAATAAATTTTCGTTGATCCCAAATTGGATTGGTTTAAAATACGATACAAATCAATAAAATAATAAAATATATATTTTAGAAAAATATTCCTACTAAAATTATAAATTAAAAAAATAATAATATATAAATACAAACCAACCATTATATTGTTTGTTTTACATTCACAATAAAATTATCTTTATATTTCTTAACACTGAATATATTTTGATTTGATTTAGTAAAATTATATCCAAAACCATATTTTAATTTTGTGAGACATATTTTATATACACAAAATAATTAAGAAAACTAATATAAATGTCGAATGTTAAGAAGCTAAGTAATCTATATGCACCAAAATCAAAGATTTTTTTATTTTATAAAAAATATATTTTAAAATAGAAAAACCAAAAAAGAAAAGTTTTATAAATTAATAATTTTATAAATTAATAAATTTTTAAATTCTAATATTATTAATTTATAGAGTTTTTAGTGTATATATTTCTATAAATTAGGTATCATTTCGGTGTCAAAGACAAGAGGTGTATGGGGCGACTTTTCTTATACCCATCATCACGAATGAGACTAGTTTTGTTGTACTTTTATAATTGATTAAAAAACAACTGTAATTAAAAATTCAAAAATACTCTTATCAAGCTGAAAATGTATATAATAGAAGAGTTGACATAGTTGAATTATATAAGGTCAACTTAACCAGCCTGAGTCGATCTAATCCATATGGCCTCCATGCCATCTGAGAGTAACTATTAGAGACTTGAAAATACGATTTTACTTGGAAAACCATCAACATGAGTGACACATTGACACTCTACTAAAAATCATAGCTAAACCTTAAAATCTTTGAGAATCGAGATGCCTGTAGAGTGCTGTGTTGATTGACGTTTAACCTTCAATTCTGATGGGGAAAATCGACGTGGGGATCTGCTAGAACCACGAACGTTGAAGATGCATATATAATTAAGGATTTATCAAATACAACTAACGCTGATAACTTGAAACATTGTTTATTCGTGAACAGATAACAAGATAACAAAAACTATATTTTACCAAAAAAAATAATGATAACAAAAACTATTAAGAAATGTAAACACCATCGAAAATATAGTTTCAGTTAATAGAGCACGATTATCGGGAGATAATTATGAAGGATCTTTAACAAAACTATTCGTTTTTCACGCTACTCGCGGTTAATTATTTTTTAATTATTACAATTAGTTTTGTTGTGTGAATATAAAAAATTGCAGAATAATCATTTGTATATAAACCATCTACTATGTAGGATATTGTATATGAGAGGAGACATGGTCTGTTCTTTTTTTGAATGTTATATATAAATTCTCACTTTTTGTAGTAAATTACTTTTATTAGTTTGCAAAATTTCCAAACTTGAGTTTTGAATAAAAGAAAGACTGGATTATGTAGGAAGTTGTTCTTAGATGTGTTTCCTCGATTTTTATCTTTTGCGCTAAGGTGTAGCTCTAACTCATGTATTGAACGTTTCTCTTATCTTTTCTTTAAAGTCTTGACGTTTTATATTGTTTTGCTAAATAAAAATGTGTGGCTTATCATGAGAAAAAAATTATCTTTCTTGTTAATAAGATTTTTAATCAATAGGTATTGGACATTCAAGTTTGTATTTGTTTTTACCTTTATATATTGTAAGGATAGTGTTTTTCACCATAACAACTTTATGTTTTTGATTGTTCTGTAATGTATATATTTTTATTACGTTTTAAATATTTAAGACATATATATATATATATATATATATATATATATATATATATATATATATATAATTAATATTTATTTTAAAGTATGTGGCATGCCTCTCCATTCATTTTTTTAAAATAAAATATTTAGTTTAAACCGTTAAATAATTTATATTTAATATATAATGTAATTTGACTATATACATTAAAAGTAAATTGTACGATGAAGTTAGAAATATTTAAATTCAAGATTGATTGTTAATATAAGAAGTTAAGTTGTTATAGTGAGAACTAAGGAATATAAATAAAAATTTAATTAAAACTTAATTATGATTGAACTATTCTTTTATATTCAGAATTTTTTTGAAGCTTTCTTCATCTTTTTCCTCTTAATTTCTACAAAACTAAGTTTTTGGCAGATATTCACATTTTCTCTCTACATGATCACTATAATTAAAACCAAAATATAGATACTATATTTTTTTGACTTTCAAATTAAAACAATTAAAACATAAAAAAATGATTACATGAAAAGACGATAGGTTTTATAGTTTTGGAATGGATACTATAATTGTTAACCGGAAGATATGATATACACAAAAGGGTTGTTTCTCAAGCATAAACTCAGATCTTTTGAAAATTTTAAGTATGTAATTTTATTGTTTTCTTTCTTTCTTTATTTGCATCATAATATAAATGAGTAAGTATTTATGCTTTTACCAGTGCAATTATTCTTTTGAGAAGTTTATAATTAAAAAAGTATCTTTTTTCTCAGATTCTGAAAATGTTAGACCTAATGATTATTCTTCAGTAATGCTTTAAGATGTATAATCTTAATAGCTTTAAGATGTATAATCATAAAATAAATAAACTAATAACTCCTAAAACTCTCACAGAGAATCTACTATATCCTCTGAACTAACAATCTTCTTAAGAAGCCAGGTTATTGGCAATACATTTGTAATGCGTCTCATCTCGAGAAGCTTGTGCATCTTCTTGATCAGTTTTCAATCTCTCCTCAGCAACTTCTAGCTCCTGTAAACCAAGCAGATCCAAAATTCAGAGCAAGATTAATATCTGAACGTAACTTCTGCAAAATTTATGCAAACCAACTTCGAACTTAGTAATGTGTTTTTTTTTACTTACATAAAAACAGGGAAGTAGCCATTTCAGACCTCAACTGCAGCTCTTGGGATTCTAAACAACGGTATTCTCTCTACTTTGCCTTCTACAGAGACTATCTCTTTCAATCTGTTCCGCTATTTCTTTAACATCCTGATCTTTCTTACTGTTTTCACACATAGTTACAACTGTGCTTGCTCCATCAGATTCCTTTTTTCTCTTCCATCTGTCACTCGGACCCCAGTCTTCATCTTCACTACCTTTCTCTTGCAAAACAGCTTCCTTTCCAAACATTTATTAACCACATCAAATAGGTGCATTCTATGACAGTTTATCATGCCTTTTAAATACTCATAAGCATTTTTCTGATCCAAATCCTCAAGAATTCCAGTGAGCCATGCCTCAAGGCATCTTAAGAACTGCACAGCCAAGAAGAGCCACTCAGAAGTGTAGGCGTAGCATAAAAAATGAACAACTCTATAGACAAAGGAACAGAATGCATGCAATGGAAGGATAACTTCAGATGGTTATAAGTTACAACTTAAATGTCAAAAAATTTACCTGTAATGGCATTTCATACAATCCGGAGACATTCTGGCAACTGAAATAGAGACCACCAAACATTGAGCCATTTAGATTTCTATAAACATAGTTCACTGAGAAAGAAATAAAAACTATATTCACATCAGACCTGTATATTGGAGCGTAGTTTCTAGAGAAGCTGTGTGAGAAGTGACTTGAGTTGTTTGTCTAACCTCAGCTGCAAGTGTTGGAGAACATGCAATCTTGACAATGACAGAAGATGCATTCTTAACAGCTAAAGCTTCTTTGAGAAGCTCAAAAAAATTGGATAACAAAAGAAAACCTCACTTGGGATGCTTGGTTGCAAGTGTCGACACAAAAGCTTCCAGATCAAGAGCTTCATAAAAATTTCCATTTCCCACGCATCTGATAAAAATACAGTTCATTTTTGAAGAGAATTTTGAAGTTGCTTAACGTCAATATAAAGTTCAATTCTCACATGAAAGGGTATGAGAAAGAGATTTGCTGGCAAGAGGTCTAGTAGCAATGACTGGTTAATAATCCATATAGTGTTCACCCCTCGTTCTGTTTCTGAGTCATGATAAAAAAAAAAGCTAATATTTTTATCAAGCAAGTAAAACGGAAAAGAACAACGACAAATCAACGTCTCAATTACAGACCAAACATTTCTAAAAACCAAATAAACCCAAAAACCAGAAATGGATATCGAGCAAGGACAGAGACAGATCTCAGAATAAACCTGTTCGTCAATGAGGAGCATCTCGAGACCAATGAGTATCTTCGAGAGTGGGTTTCGAGCCTCTCAAAAATGGATCAGACGAAACCTTAACTCGCTTTCTTGCGGTCCGAATTCGACATCTCTGAAGAAGAACACTTCATCGGCTTTGGCAGAGGAGTCGGAGTGGAGAACCTCTTTGTCGTTTGGTTTCTTGGACATAGGATCGCCGGAGACAGGGTTGGTAGAGGAGACTCTGGTTTTTCCGGTGTTCTTGATCGCTGGGGATTTTCCATCGGGTTTCATCGTGGATTCGGCTTCTTGAGAGGATTTTGATTGAAACCAAGAAATGGTAAATAGGTTTATAAGAAATAGTTAGAGAGGGAGTTGAAACGAAAGACATTAAAGATGGGAGTAAAGAGGAGGTTTGATTGTTAGTGGAGATGAACATCGTGAGAAGGGGAAACAAAGAAGAAGTGGGTGAAAGTGAATGGATCAATTCAATTTGTGGGATTAGGGTTTCTGACGAAATCGGGTTCAACGGAACCGTGAATTTTTTTTTTGTCTCAAGCAGTACTGACGTGGCGGATTAAAAGCTCTTGATTGGCTGATTTTTACATCATACGTTGATACGTTAAGAGAGCTTTATGTTTGGCTTTGGTATAGTAAGATAATAATAAGATATAGTGTGAGTCCCACAAACAAACAAAAGAGTTGATTGGTTGGTGCTGTAGTTTTAGTTTTTTTTTGCTTTAAAAAATAGGCTGTAGATTTTCTTGCTTTGACTTTGATTATTTTACTGTTGATTTATTTTCAAAACACTAAATAAATTCCGTAGAAAAATTGATTTTAAAAGCTAAAATCTTTCTTTAAAGATAAAGCTTGATTGCTTTAGAAAAATGCTCTAGAAAGAAAAAGTGATTGTCCAAAGCATCTTCAACACTTACCAATCAACTTCTAAAAACCGGTTACAGAAGTAACCAAATAAGGATCGATTGTGGTGGGTTTTCTCCACTGTTTGCGGGCCTCACCGACAAGTGGTGATTCACAATTGTACGTTTTTTAATATTTTTTTAATTAGACAAAAAGAAAAAAAAATATTTTCTAAGAAACCCAGGGGTTATAGGGTTAATGATGTTCTTATGATTGAAAAATATTCTTTATTCACGAGCAGATGATATCTTCCTCAAATTGGACTTCGTGGCCGCGCAATGGCTTGGGTTCCTCACCTATGGTTTTCTTGAAGCAATTATAGATAAAATCTCCATTGTTTTATTTGTGTTGATTTTTGATCAATTTTGTGATTCTTCTTAAGCTAAGGCGTTTCAATTGTATTTATAGTGAAAATAGTAACAAGACTTTGTGATTGTGAGTAACAACTCTTTGACTATTTACCAAATTGTAGCTTATATGTATATTCACTATACTGCCACGATAAGGTCACTTGTATATAATCAATTCTTGTGTGGGATCTAAAGTCAAAGAGGTATACTATTCTTCTTTGAAGCAAACTGTCCATCCATCACGGGGCTGGTTTTAGGATGGTATTTTTGTCAACTAGTTTTAGGGTAGTTATAATATAGAACTTGATGAAATAGGCAAATAGCCAATTGTAATTAAAGATTATAAACATTGCATAATCGAGCTTGAAATTTATACAGTAGACGAGTTGACATATTTAAAAATGCGAGGTCAAATATCTAGTGTTTACGTAAGGTCTCTAGTCAGTGCCATGTCGTCTCCATTCCATCTGGACCAGCTATGATATGACTTTGTAAAAGAAACTAATACCAGTGTCTGCATGATTATATATAGTAAACCAATGTAAAAATCATGCTACAAAAATATAATTGAATAAAATTAAAATAATCACTAATTACATTCTAAAAAGTAGAAATATTTTTTTAAAAAAATATATACAATCAGTTTGAATAATATGATTATTTACAAAATTAAATAAGTATCTAATTTTTAATAAAAAATAGTTAGGCTGTCAAGCTACTTAAAACTTATAATGAAAGTTTAATTTGTACATTATTTACATCAATAAATTTAAAGACAATGTGTAAAAGAAAAGAATATTAACTGTGGATTCAATAACAAAAGAATAAGAGAGAAATCCTTAATATTTTGTTGATCTCAATCTCAATTCTGAATAATTTTATTTTACTTATTATTATAGTAAAAGTAAAAAAGTTTCTACAAAAATTAAAATAATTATACAATAAAAAAATCTTCTTTAAATTAAACAAACTCATGTTTTCAATACAAATAACCAAAAAAAATTTGATTGTATTTTCAATTGAAAGTAAAATTAATAATTTTAACATGTATGTTAAAATTCATATGTTTTTTTTTTCATTTGATCACTTGCCCCTACGGGGGAGTTTAACCCTGGTAATTTATATAATCTAAAATTTTATCTTTTTTTTTATATGTGTATCATGCGGATTTTAATTTAGTAAATGAGAATTTTAATTATTATTCGCATAATAAATTTGTTTTCATTGATGAGTCAGAGCATATAATGGTTTTCTTTCGGATTCAAATCCTCAAATGCATGTTTTAGAGAAAAATATTACTGAAGATGTCAAAATATTGGTCTAAGTGGGCCTGCTAATAAACCTATGTTATCTTCGGTATCCCATGAAATATGAACACAAATGATTATGGTAACTTGAGTTTGTATAGGCCAAGGCCCTAAATGACAACATAGAAAAGAGTCCATCTAATCAGCTATTTGCTTACCCATTTCGTATAATAAAACCAAACTAGATTTTAACCCGAAATTTTTTATGATTAAAAAATTATATAATTGGGTTTTTGTCTTAATTTAAAGAATGTTTTGGTATAAAATCAGTTCACCAAAATTTGTGGTGATGATTGTTTTTCATTAGTTTTTAGTTTCAATTTTTATTTTTAGTTTTGTTTTAGATTTTAATTTTTTGGGTTTTAGTTTTTAAGTTTCTATTTTTGATTTCAGCTTTTGGTTTGAGTTTTTAATTTTTAGATCCGCTGAGTTAGTTTGAACTGATATTACCAACAAACAAATCCCAAATAATGGAACATCTAATTTAAAACTGAAAAGATGACAAAAGCTTTTGTTAAAAAAAAATTGCAATATTTTATTTTGTAAATAAAGGAAAGCAAAAAATAGAACCTGCGTTTTCAACTTTTGGTTTTGGATTTTAGTTTTTAGATTTAGTTTTTGATTTTGCTTTACAACTTTTTTTAAATCAGTAAATTATTTAAGAAAAATAAAACAATATATTATTTAAAAGTTACCATTGAAATTTATCAAAAAAAAGGATTGTTATTTAAAATATAAAATACATTATCATGTTTTTAAGTACATGATTTAAATAAATGATTAATAATAGACAATTTTGTTTTGTTAAAAATCTTAAATACCTTTTGGGCCTGAAAAAATAATTGATTTTTTGATTCACTAAGGTGGAAAGTTTATTCAATGTTTTTTGGAGTTTTTCCTTAATATTAAGCCCAAAAACCAAATCATATAATTTATTCTAAAAACAAAAGTAAGCCCAAGACTATATCCCATAAATAACCACCGGTTTAATTTAAGTAATACGGTTCAATTAACTATATGACTTGTATTATTTGTAACACTCTAGAAAGGGTCCAAATTTAAATGACAACTTGTATTAGTAGATAAAGAATGACTCTATTTTAATAGAGTAGATGTTTTTGGATTTAAAATGAAAAAAATGTCATTTAAATCACCAATTTTCAAATTTGATTGAAAAAAAAATTGAGTTAACATTTATATGGCGTCGTTTTGATTTTTTTTTTTTTTAAATATTCATCAAAGGAATCGAAGCCATAACCAAAACTTGCCTTAATCAATGCTAAACCACTAGGACACTTACAATTCTCTTGATATGTGTAAATACTAATAGTTATTATTTTAACCCTCCAAATCATTTTTCCCAATATAAATACCTAATTTGTTTCTGAATCTAATAAATCCCGAATTATTTCTTCTTAAAATTAACATAATCGAAATAGAGATTTAGGTTGGGAGAAGATGATTAGGTTCAAATTCTCAATTTGTAGTTTCTTATTCCTACGAAGTTATAACCTAAAAGCTGACCTGAGCTAAGGTTAATCCTTTATCACTATTGCACTTGACAAGGTGATCATATTGCTGCTTCATCTTCCTTTACGTAGCACTCTCAACGAGGTAAAAGGGTACAAGCAAACAAATTCCGTTTTGGTTTCCGAATTCGAAACCAACCCATCACCACCAGATTCATCATTTCTTGTTTCTTAAAACCTAACATAAACGAATTAGAGATTTAGGTTGGGCGAAGATGATTTGGAGAGTTAATAATAATGACTATTAGTATTTCATTTCAACAAAATTGTAAGTGGTCTAGTGGTTTAGCATTGTATCAAGAGAATCTTTGGCCACAGGTTCAATTCCCTTGATGAACATTTTTTTAAAAAGATTTAAAAACGACATTGTATGAATTGAACAGAGATTAGAGATGGGCTTTAACCCTATTAACTCAATCAGTTAATCATTT